TTATAATAAGGATAGTAAATTGGGAGAGTTATTAACCGGTAACTATCATTTTTACTTGTCTACTTTGAATTTTGCATATTCTTTCAAAAACAATAATTAATATGATTAATTAACATACAGTTTTAGCTCTTGAAAAATAGTTGAAGGAACAAGTAATTAATATCGAAAGTAAAACAGAAAAATTAAATAATAATTGAAGGAACAAGTAATTAATGTTAGAGAGTAAACATTGAAAAATTAAATAATTAGTGTATGTTAGTTATGTTAAAAGTGAATGGAGTAGGTAATTTGTTTGGCATATTTAGACATTTTCACAAAATTTAAGAGAACATAAGAATTACTTAAAATTTGTTAGTGTTTTACATCCCATAATATTTGTTTAGTTATAAAAGTTTTTTACTAATATAAAATATCGCAAGTTCTGTTGACTGTTGACCATGGTGCTGGATGGTGTATAATTAATCAATGTTTAACTAACGTATTTGATTCCATACAATGATTATATGTCAATTTTACATAGTATTCATTGAGAGTTACCTTTGAAACATACACAATGAACTTAGCTTAATGAATAAGTAGTATGATCAAACGAATAATATTTAGTTGGTTCCAAAGATATTGTATCGTCTTGCATCTCGTTGAAGCAAAGTCCACTTTTTCTCATATTTGAGTCAACCTCATCATTTATCCATGAAGAAAGGGAAACTAAAATGTGGTAAAAAGGAGCTTATATACAGATGTTATACACTGATATACAGGTCAAGAATGGGCCAATGTTCATGAATTTTAGCAGATCTTCAAGTGGGCCGAAATTGGGACTCAAACCCAAACTCCCGGACATTAGGCAAGAAGCCCAACTTCATTTCTCTATTTAATTTGTTGGAAAAATTAGTTAAATAATCACAACCAACTCTACTTCTCTTTTCATTTCTTAATCAAGTTGTTTTAAGTTAGCTCTTTTTCCAAATGAATCAAATGCTTTATTTACTCTAAATGAATCACACTCTTATAATTTTTGAGACTGTTAATAGCACGAAAGGTTGTTTTGAATGCCATTCGATAACTAAAAAATGATGTAAAATGGGTAATGTTGGGTTCGATACAATCTACACAACCAACGAGGCGATGATTTAAATAGGAGCGTGGATGGATGGAAGAACAAGTGTCTGATGAGATGATCACATAATCGAAATTTTGAATTTTGGTCACCCACAAGATTCATCAGGTTCATCCAAATATAAAATCCACTTGAAAATCTCTTTGTTCTTACTAAATTGGGTGACCAAAATAAGGACATGTTGAAGTTGTACTCTTTGAATTCACACTCATTGATTTCTTTAGTTGTAATAGGATTCACAACCTGATCAAAACAAGAGTCTAATTAACTTTTAAATAAGAGATTAATTCAGTAATATCGCCAATCAATCATGGCATATGATATTAAGGGCGGAAAAGTTACCTAAAAAGCTAATGAAATATAATCATTTAAGGAAAAAATGAAAAATATACCCCTAAATTATCGTAAATGGTATGCAGTTATCCTCAGTCATATTTTGGGACAGTCCAGAAACTAGAGCATATATGTCTTTCACTATAACGGAAGACTAAATAGAGACACGTGACACAATCTTATTCATCGATCCGATATTTAATAAATGTCAGATCGGTGGATAAGATTATGATACACGTATATCCGTTAATATAAAGGGTATATATGCTCTTGTTTTTGGATGACAGGAATAGCAATGTCCCAAAAATATGACGAAGGGTATCTGCATACCATTTAAGATAGTTTGAGATATATTTTTCCTTATTCCCATCATTTAATAGAGAATTATTACTTTAAAAGAAATTTATTCCATCATTATCTATTACTTATTATAAAGAAAACTCAGAATATTATAATAATAAGAAGAAGACAACAATTATAAGATAAAGGAGAAAATTTTTTTATTCAAGTGTGTCTTCCAAATGGTGATTGATTCTCTATTTATAGTGTTGAAATATCACTCCAAAAGTCATCTAATTGATAGATACATAGTTATCTTGAAAGTTCTTATCACCGTGAAAGCACTTGTACATAAATCCATTTAATAGTCGATAAATCTAATGGATAATCCACATATACTATACAATATACTATACAATAAATTTACATGACTAATATTAAAAATAATGCAACGATATTTATAGGGTTAACAACAGCAAAGGAACTAATGGGATATATCAGGTTAATTAAGGTCATTCTGACAAGAGCTCTTCTTCTTCTTTTATTAGACATTTTAAATTATTATAATAACCAAAATCTATAAGAAATTCTAACCAATTAACTGCATACCATTTTATTTTTTCAATAATATTTAGGCACATGTATAATAATTAAGGTACTGACTTAGTTTGTGATTAAAAAATTAAAATAAAGTTGGAAATTAATTAGACTTGAAGCAACCATAACCTTAATTAAGGAAAGAACTTATGTACCTTCCCTAAACTTCTTCATTATTAATATTTCTTGATCCAAGACAATCAAAATCGCGACTACTTCAATCAAAAAAAAATTTAAATTAAAAGAAGTATCTCATCTCAATTACGAAAAAATTCAGATAAGTTCATTATTACGCCATCACTCAATTTAATAACCAGCTATAATTAAGGTGGATATGGTACGATAACTTTTTAAGAAATGTCTATAGGTAGAGCTATTAATAACAAAATATAAGCAATACATTATATAATATAGCTATAGTTTTGACTATTTTAATAATTCGTGACTACTGTTTCGCAAAATTTTATTTTTGGTTTCCTAATTATATAAATTTAGAGTTAGTACTACATGTAATTTTCTATTACAAGTTAGATTTTTAATAACGTGAAAAATAAGATAGAATTGCATGCTATATCATAAATAAATGCATAATAGAAAGGAAGTACAGGACATAAATTTTAGTCATTTCCTTCGGTTTAAACAGAAAAGGGCCTAAAATACATCTGAAGTATTGAAAATGATATAAAATTATCCTTCATTCACCTATTGGCTTCAAAATGCCCTTTTCATCCACCTATTGGCTTCAAAATATCCTTGTCATCCACCTTTGGGTTCAAAATTGACCACTTCTTTAATTGTTTTAAAATTAAACTCTTTAAAGATTTTTTAAAATACTTGACTTTCAACTATTGGTTATAATTTAATTTTTAAATATAATTTATAAATCAACCCACTACCGACTCATTACTAACTAAATTCCACCCAATTAATAATCCAATTATAATATCAAAATCGTCATAAACACTACTAAAACACGATGAAATTATAGATTCCTGAAAATGACATCCAAAATTATTTGAGTCCGAATCGAAGCCCCAATTAAATTTAGGTTGAGCCGCTTATTTAGGAGGACACTTTCAATATGATTCTCTTTCAAGATTGAATTAGAAATTTATGATTAAAGGTAAAAAAAATACATCCCGAATTAATTCATGTACTTTTTTTAAAAATATAATTTTTCAAATATTTATGATTTGTTTTAAAACCTTTAATATATTATTTTGAAAAAAAGTTACTTATGAAGTAACATCACATAATTGAGACATAAGAATAATTAAGATGAACATAGTCAGATTTTTAAGTTTATCGGTAATTTTTATTTAGACACTTGAATGTATGATAATTTATTTCTATAGATATTTTCGCCTCAAAATTTTAAAAACACTTAATCGGCAGTAGCTTTTCTGTTGTTGTATTAATAATGTGACGGATTTATTAATTTAGAAGGGTTTAATTAGTAATGGTGGGTAGTGGATTCATTTATAAATTATACTAATAAGTTAAATTATAGCAAATAGTTGAGCGTCGCGTACTTAAAAAAATATTTAAATAGTTTAAATATAAAACTGTTAAATAAGTGGTCAATTTTGAACCAAAAGGTGGATGACAAAGGTATTTTGAACCCAATAGGTGGATGGAAAGGATATTTTAAAGGGATGGAGGATAAATTTATACCATTTTCAACACTTTAAAAATATTTTAGACTTTTTTCCGTCTGTTTAAAAGTACTTGTTATTTTAAAAGTTTATTTTTCTTAATTAAAGATTCAATCAGCCTAATTGTGAAAAAGAATGACACATAACTAGAATATTTGATATATTTTTAAAAGGAGTGTAAAAGAGAAAACTGAAAAACACGATAAATAATTTGTGAATTGTGACGTGATGAAAGAAATAATCTTCTATATTATTATTATTATAATAATTAATTTCTGAGATTTTCTTCTCAAAATAAGGATAGTAAAGGGTGATGACGCTTGTAAACAAGAAGAAGGTAAGGCCTACAAGAGTAACAATTTTGGTAAACATCTTACTCTGGATTTTTGGTCTCATGATGAAAGCTATAGTACTTAAAACTTCAAGGAAATACTTCCATTGTATATATAAAGAGATGTAGTGAGTGAAGAAACATTAATTCATATCACTCTCATCTCAAAATAAGAGTCGTCTTAAAAAAATTACTTATCACATGATAAGTAATTTATTAAACAGAATAGTTAAGTACATAGTGTATTTATTGATTTCTTTATTGATGTAATTGTTGCTCAGATGACACTTATTACAGATTTTACTTTTATCTTTACGTGATAGAGAATAGAAAATAAGAAAGAAAGCTAATGTACAAAATTAGTATTGCAATAAATAATATTAAAACAGAACTAGTGTATAACATATTGTTATGCATTCATTTCTGCCCCTAGGTCAAAACTCAAAAGACACTCAAAAAGAGAGACTTTTTTATAGCAAAATGGCAAATAATAAACGGAGGGAACTTTTTTTTAAAAAAATTTATTATTTGTAATATCACATATTTTCCCCCTTTTTTTAGGGTAATTTTTCCTTTCTATATAAAAAAAGACCATAATTACTCTTGACGGTTCTAAATAATATCTAAAAGGAAAAACACAAATCAAAAAAGATTATTATTTTTTCACTATCCATTTTTCCCTTCTTTGTAGGGTAAATTACCCCCTTTCTGTACCACAACAAACAAAGTAACAATTGTGAACAATAATTATATAAAAAAAAGTTTTCCTTTAGAAAAAATGGAATGGCAAATAAAAAAGATAATAAAATATTATCTATTATGACTTTCCTCCCTTTTCATAAGTTCAAGTAAGAAATCACTCCACACATCAATTGGGCCTGGTAAACACCAATGAACACAATCATTTGAAAATGTAACATTTGGTTTGGGCCAATGTCCATATTTACTAGGATGACCATCTGGTCTCAACAACATTGCTTGTGTTGCATCAAATAACCTAAATTTCAAATTTCTCATTTTCCCTTCTTTTTGAGCAATTGTAAGTTCTTGCAATTGAATCTTGTAAAACTCCAAGCTATAATCCTCCAACACCTTCTCATTCCTCTTAAATGGGGTTTTCCTAACACAATCTCCTCCTTTATCCCAAACCCCGTCTTCAAAATGAGACGGGGCAAATGTCCTCAGAAATGTCACACCCTTGTAATTTTCCAAACTATTAAAAGTTCGAAAAGCAGTGTGAAAGGCCTTTTGGTAGCTGAAAAATGATGTCATTTGGGTGACATTGGGTTGCGAGCAGAAAAGGCAGCCAACTAGGGTGTGGTTTAAGTAGAACATAGTTGGACGGGAAAACCAATGACCAGATGAGATGATTACATAATCGAAATCTTGGATTTTGGTGCTCCAAGATTCATCAGGTTCATCTAGATATAAATTAAAAGGTTGATATATGTTATTGGGCTCGGTTTTATTTGCTTTTATCAAATAAGGTGCCCAAAATATGGACATGTTGAAGTTGTATTCTCTATATTCCCAACGTCTATTGTCTTGGTCTGTTGAATTTGAAACATCTATGGGATATACAACCTGAAACCAAAAATTACAACATAGTATTTAATGAATTATTATTATAAGGGTGGATAAACAACATTCTCGGTATAACAACAATAACGTGAAATCCCAATAAATACCACTATAGATTGTAGATAGACCTTATCACTATCTCGAAGAGGTACAAAGACTATTTACGGAAGACCCTCACTCAAGTACATAAAACTCAAGTAAAAGATAAAGAAAACGATAAAGAAAGTATATCCGCTAATAAGAAAAGCAAAATAAATATGAAAATCAAAATACAATACACAACTAAAAACTACGAGGGTACGATTAGTACTACGACATACACCAACAAGCCTAAACGGCTAAACCTATGCACGACAAGACAAAACTTCACCCCTATACCACTAAATTGAATATGATTTTGTAACATATTGTAATATAATATAGACAAACAAAAAAGGACCACTTTATTATACATCACAAGTAGAGTTGTCAATACATATCAAAATCAAAATCGAATATATATATAGTTAGCAGTGGACAACTAGTTGATTTGGACATCAACCCTTTACTCCTACCACAACTAATGTAGCCAACAATATGATTTAAAATGGGGGTATTTTTTGTGTTTCCAAATTTTTTGATATGTGATTGTTTTGATAATTATAGTAAGTTGAAAATCCTAACCATTTTTCTTGTATCCATTGTTATTATCGTGTATTCGAGATTTCAAGTCTTGACAGGTAGGTTTATAATTAGGTATTAAGAGTCTCATGTTGGTTCACAATGTGAACGATTGTCTCCTTATTTACATTTTATGCGATAGACCTATAAATTTGAATTAAGCAGCAAGTTCCACTTCATTAGAAGTAACAAACTAAACGTCCATTTCCAACTAAAGGTAATTAGGACAATATAATTAAAATTACAAATGACAACTTTTAGTCTAGTAATTAAAAAGTAAAAACGTTAAGAGATCACTTCACCAAAATAATAAGTGAATATATCATTAATTAGTACGTAGATTATATATAAGATACGGTTAATTGATTAGGTGTTAATTAGCTAGTGAATCAGTTGTTAACTTGTTGGTTTGTTCTTAAGCTAATTAAATAATTATAATATGCTATTTTTTATTTTTAAAATTTCGAGTCAATGTTAGTGGAAAAAACGTGGAAGTTAGAAAGTAAAACGTTCTAGATGACCCAATTGGATCTTTGATTTTTAGAAAAATTATATAAACGTGTTAGTACTATATAATATTACTAGTGGAAGAAGCATAAAAATGCCTTTTTTTCCCCCCAAAATATTCATCAAGAAAAAATTATTTCCAAATCCGACATTAGTTTAGACTTAAGAACAATCATGTTGTTTTTTCTTTCATAATTGAATTTCTAATTTTTGATTTATTAATGCAAAAAAAAATAATAATAAAAAAAATCAAGGATAAATAAATGAAAAGTCAACCAAATCTAGAGTTCACCAAATTTTATTGTAGAGGTGACTTTCTAATTATTTAGACTATTATAAGTATATTTTTTTTTAAAAGATCCAATCACGTGGAAATTAATTTTAGATCTAATTAACATGAATTAGAATATTATCAAACCCTTTTTACATGTGGAAACTGAAATTATGTCAAAAAAAAATTTAAAGTCAGCGAAGAAGAGTAATTCAAAGATTTATACACACCAAAAACACGTGGAATTTATTTAAAAGAAATTCAAAGGTCAGACAATAAATATGGAAAAAAAATTCTTAAATTCAAAACTTTTCATGATTGGCGTTTGATTTGCCACTAAATTATTTTTAAAATGCTAATATATACTTAAAAGTAGATCATAAGTTTCTAAATCATAAATATTTTCATGATTATTTATGTTTACGATAGAAATCTCATCGAAAATTTATGTTTTTTTTAGTACCTCATAATTAAGAATAATGGCGCGCTGACAATTCTAATAACATGATGCAAAACAAATTCAAGTACTTAGCTAATATACGTGATTTAAATTAATTCGTGAACAACTTTTGTTAGTACACTATTAACTTTCTTGTACTCCTTATGCCCCAAATTTTTTAGTCGGTCACATAAAAAAAATTTAGATTTTTATATTTAGAAACAGTTTGACTTTAAAATTCATATTTACACTAGCACTTAATATAATCACACAAAAGTACTAAAATAATTTGAGTAAATTTTTTTAAAACTAAAATCTCTTAAATGTTGTAGCAAATAGTATCACATTATTGAGAATATCAACAATTCATATTATAAACTTTTGCAATATACTTTTTAGGTGTAGGAAATCCAAATAACCTTTCTTGCCTTCAATTCCACCATTGATTAAAAAATCTATATATTAGACCAAACTAAATAGAGGGAATGGTGAATTGATCAGCTGGCCTCTTTTTATTCAGTGTTCGATATTCATATTAAAGTCTAATTAAATTCAATTTCATAATGAAGTAAAGCATTTTCTCACAGAGTCATAGATTCGAATTCGAGACTCTGATTAAGCATGAAGGAGTACTTATCACTCTGTCACGACCCTCGCTGATTGCCATTCAATTTCACATTGGAGTAAAGCATTTTCTAACAGAGTCATAGATTCAAATTCGAGACTCTGATTAAGCAAGAAGGAGAACTTACCACTCTATCAATAGCCTCGCTGGTAGCCGGTCTCACTTACCTACCCCATCATCCCACCCCACACACGCACAAAAACAAAAAAAATACCCTCTACATGACAAAAAGATATTGTTAATGAGAAATTACCTTAGACAATAGGCATATCAATGATTGCATATGATTTCTTGCAACTGAATCTCCAACAAAGGCCAATGATTTTCCCCTGACAAGTTCAAGAAATTGATGTGCATCAAATATAGGCAGCTCACATCCATCAGGCTTCCATTTCCACTTCAAGAAATCAGTATCAGGCCTACCATATTTCATACAATTTTGATGTTCTTGAATTGTAAAACATGTCATATTTGTATAATATGGAGCTTCTTGATTTTCTACCCATTCCCCCAAAAATAAATCGCATTTTTCATCAGTACTATTAATAATCCTTGCTTGTTGAGGCGCCACAGAGACATGATCATCATCACTTTTGGTCACGTTAATTTGTTGTGTTGTACTACTATTACTACTATTGTTGGATTGGTGTTGTGTGTTAGAATCAGGAAGTGGTACCAATGAAGAAGAAGAAAGAACTTGTGAGAGTTTTTTAGGGTGCATAGAAGGATAGTATATAGGGATGAGAGTGAACAAGATGGCGAGGGCGACGAAGGGGGCAATTTTTGTAGCATTTTTCTTTCTTGTTTGTAGTTTACCTAATGAATGATCAAGATCTTGGAAATTCATGGAGAAAGAAAGAGGGAGAGAAGGTTGAAGAAGAAAGGGAGATGTGGACTTGTGAATGAAGAAAAAAGGAACTTTTAAAGTTACTAATATGCTAAATTCAATAAACAAATTATGGCCATGTGTAAAGTTAGACTTAAGTAAGACATGAGAAAATTCGTATTGCCGTCCTTCCTTCCTTTATTTTCTAAGGAAAAACTTACATAAATATACTATAAATAAAAAATAATTTATTATTCACATATAATACAAGTTTTATTGATAGATAATACATTTATCACACATTTTAATACACTTACAATACAATGTGTCAACTTCTTACGAAACAAACATAATATATTTTTAAAAATAATTATAATATATATATATATATTGTGTACTTAATTCACTTTTAATACATATTACAAATTTAACATAATATTGCTATCAATGTTAATAAATAAAAAATGTGTGTAGACTATTTAATATCATCAGAGTGTGTGTATATATTGATTGTATCAAAGAGGAAAAAACATTTCTTCAGTGAAGTTACTCTAATAGCATCAAGAAGGAACATGCAGTGTTTCAGTGAAAAGATTGTGTTTGATACAAGGGACAATTCGGTAAATAATTTGAACTGTGAATACAAGGTAAATATATATTGAGTTCAATTTTGGATAAATACTTTGTCTAATAGGTCTAATTTATATAGTTTTTCTTTTATAAAAGGTATAGATTGTATATATTTCCACACCTATTGTATATACTTTAACCATTTATATACCTATTTTACAAATTAATTTGATCGAACTATACATATAGTTAAGTATTTCCTAATTTTGAAAATTTAGTTATTCAAAAAATTATTGGTTCCTCCTTATTTTCTAAGATATGACAAAAAATTAAAGGAAAGAGTCATATGAAACGTAGGGACTCACTAAAAAGCACAATCCCAAAAGGTGTTGGACATTCAGATCATGCTCTTTTTTTTCATCTTTTGGGTTGGACAAAGTCTTTTCCTTCTGCATATTTAAATAGGAAAAATTACTCCTATTATTTCATTATTATTCATCACAAGTAAGAATTAAATATGTATAAAAGAAAGTAAGCATTACTTTCTGTGATGAAACTAAATAGAAATCTCAACTAACAGGGAAATAAAGGTGGTCCAACTTTATAATCATATAGTTATTCAATAACTGGAACTCTGACTCATTAACACTATATTATAATGTGTTTTTAGTTTGTATCTCAGTAAATAAAAAGGAAGATTCAAAAGAAGAAAGCAGAATAAAATAAAATATAGTATGATTTTTTAGAATATTTATAAATTTGAATTTGTTCTTTTCTGTCCAACCAATCATTTCCTTCAACAAATTTTTAATTGGGTAAAGATAATGAAAGGTAGAATAATTAACAAAAGAGACAATAGGAGGGATTTTTGTTTTTAGTAAAGAGCCATCTGATCGTATATCACAACTTTATTAAATTGGTTTGATTTAATTTATATATATTGATTGCTTTTACCTATAATTATAGATCATTTCTCATAAATAAAACATGGAAAATAGAGAAATAATTTTCTATGTTCAATTAAATTGTGTTGATAGTATAAACATTATTCAACTTTCTGATTAAATCAAACTACTCATTCATATTGTATTCCTTTAGTTCACTACTAACAAAAAAAAGTAAGAACGAGTGACAAACAAATTATGTTGCCAAAAGAATCATCATTTTGCTATTTAGTAATAGAATAACGATGAATTTCTCAAATTGGTATTTACTCAACTAGTTGGTTCTTCTTCTACAGGTAACTAACAAAATTTTATGGCGCAAATCAAAAACTCCAAATATATTTACCACTTAACCACATCATATCCGATTGGTCTTTCCCAAAACCACAAAGTTCAATTGCCTCATAAAAATTTTTTGTATCTCAAAATTCAGGAAAATATATCCTTCAAATCATACGAACTTAATGAGATAAAAAACAAATGTAGACTGTTCCATATACGGCTAAATAGAAGGCTTACAAAGAGTCAAGTTTATGAACACATCTAATAATCTTAAAAAGACAAATTAATAATGAAATGTAAAGCAACACAGATAGAAAAATTCAAAAGGCAAATCCTAATTAGTTAATTGACTGACTAGGTACAGGAATATATTGTAGACAGTGATATATTTTGTCAAAGTTTCTCAAGTTTGAAGAAAATGATAGAGAAACCAACTTATGGAAAAAAATGATTTACTTACCATAAACTGCATGCTGCCTGCAGCCTGTAGGAGCCTATAGTAATCTGCTGATTATTTGATGAAATTAGCTTCAGAATAATAACATGGTTCGATCATTGTGCAGAAAAGCAAGAGTTTAATATCATGAGCAAACGACTAAAGTTGTTAGTATTAGACACCAGGTGAGAAAAATGTTGTAAATCATAAAAATGAAGTCTTAGCTTAGGAGCTTTGTCCATCGAATGATTTCTATATAGTTTGTACTGTTATAAGTGGACAAAGCATGTCATACATCTCCAAAGTCATCCTATCCATATACATCCCAAGAAGAGGGGGGGGGGGGGGGGGAGGTTGACACCTTGGTTTTCCTTTTCTTTTTTCATATGGTAGCTTCTAGTTTCAAGATCAGCTTATGGCATGTGCATACCTCCAAGCAAGCAAATTACCAGTTACGACCGTAAAGCCTTTGTAGATCCTTGCAGTGTGTACATGTCCATGGAAACAATGGAGGATCCAGACAATAGGAATGGATACAGAGAGTCTCGCATAGATGGCATTTGACTAGTAGGTCCTCTGGTTCTTGACAAGAGCATTGACAACAGACTGGAGTTCTTGATGACTACATAAACCAAAATAACAAAAAAAAAAAAAGTTGAGCTCGGGAAACTGAAACGCAAGATGCACCCCTGTTCTTCTCTTCTTCATGAATGTTTGGATAGACACGAGTTTTAGCAAAACGTTAAAGCAACTCAGGCAAATCATCAGAACATGTAAATAAATAACACATTGACACAAATTACTCAACAGTGTTATCATACTGCTGTATCGCATATTGAAATAAATAACAGAGCTGTTTTGCTGTTCAATTCTACCCAGACTACCTAAAAGGGCAGCTTTTTCATGTATCACTCTGTTACTCTTTTTATTAGGAAATTTTAACCACAACAGCCAATAAGGATGGATAATGACAAATACATATGGAACTCAAAGCAGGTGTCAGCACCAACATTCAGTGCAGATCTCGTTCCATAATTTCAAGTGAGATATTTAACCTCCTTCATTTGCTTTGTAATTCTTGCTATTTTGCAGTCATTATTTCCTTTATATCCTGCTTTGATTACACTTCTTTTGAGCCAAAGGTTTATCAGAAACAACCTCTCTATCCCATAAAAGTAAGGGTAAGGTCTGTGTACATCCTACCCTCCCTAGACCCCACTTGTGGATTTATTCTGGGTTTGTTGTTGTATACTTTACCCTACCATCTTTGGCCTCAACCTATATTAACTGGATAGAAGTTTTCAACTGTTAAAATTGTTTTATAAAATTACTGGTTTCTGAAAAGTCAACAGTGCCAAGGGGAATAGCTCTAAGTTGGTTGTGGAAAGATATGCCTACAAGTAACCATGCTTCAAGAACAGTGCGAGGGCAACTCTTTAATACTAAATTGAAGAATCAGATGAGCATCAGAAGTAGTGAAAGTAAGAGACCTACTTTGATCTATAAAACTGAATAGCATGATACAGGCAACTCAATGTCCCAGTCACACTCTTTACAGCAAATATGGAAATATTTAGGCTATTCATGCATCCGTCTAAAGGCAGTCAAATAATACTTCAAGTGTGACCTTTGCCTGCACCTGTAGGAAGAGAAGGCCCACGGATGCAGAAAAGGTATCCAATAGTATGGTAATACATGTTAGTTGGTGACAATGATGAGATATAGATATTCACATCCATGTACAGAAAAAACAAACAGTAGGTGATGTTCTCCACATAACAAAATAGAATGGAAACTGTCATTGAACTTACATTTGAAGGCAACCTTGGTGTTATTACACCCTCAGGAAGTATATATATGTCCATTTCTGGATTCTTCTCCGGAATAGTTTGGGTGTATATCTTTTGATCAGCAGGAATTGCATCATCAACCTTTCTAATGGCAACAAAACTAGCCTTGCACAAAGGGCATGTTGATACTTTTCTGCTTGATGCCTACGATGAGGGCATTATGAAAGGTAGATATTAATTGAAACAAAAAGAAAAACCCAAGAAATCACAAGTTGCACTTGCATGCATAAATAAAATTATACATCTCATCACGATGACATGCAAAAATTGGAAGTGAATAGAAAAGGAAACTTCCACAAGACATTGAGAAGACAGATGGGAAGATTTACCATATGATTGGCCCACGTCTGGATGCATGAGAAACAAAAACGATGACCACAGGGAAGCACCCCCCTGGATGAACTGAAGTCTGTCCAACATATGACACAGGATAATGTGGTTGATGTAGACGCTTTGCAAGTATTATCAGTCTCATTTTGGACCTCATCAATAGCTGGGCATGGCTCTTGTCGGTTTCCAGTAAGATCAGAGGAGGCACTTTCTGTTTGTAAATTCTGATTACCACTATCAAGAGGTCTGTTAACTTCAGTTTCCTCAATACCATCCAGGTCTATTCTAATTGGCTCCGACTGATAGCAGCTAAAACCAGATCCATGCCGGTTGTTCACAGAGAATTCTGGCATTTCAACATCCAAGTTGTAAAATTGTGCCGAAGTTTCAAGTTCCTGACGAGCTTGTATTTGGAGACTATGTTTCCCTGAACCCGAAGTAATCTCCAGAAGATCCCCACTAATGTTCTTCTTCATCAATCTACGACTTCTGCGAGAAGTTTCACAAAATTCAGAACTTCTCTTATTGGATTTACGGGAAGCAGAAGAGGCCAAATTCAAATCTTCAATCTACATGAAAAACATTAGGAAAAGAAGAGTATCAACTAAAGTTTCAAAGTAATGGAATAAATAATCACAGTCTGAATGTTATTACCTCTACCCTATGTGAGCCCTGTAAAGAGTGTTCATCGGAACAATATTTGCTGCTGGAAGGGTGATCCTTATTTTTAATATTGACATTTGATTTCCTCCTTCGTTTATCCTTGTATTTACCCATCTCAGGAAATAAATTCTGCAGCCAGTAGCATACAAGCAAGAAATGAAGTTGTGTTTTATAGATCTTCTATATAGATGTGTCTCAGCACACATTTTGCAGTATAATATATATCCAATATTTAGAGACATAGAGATGTTTGAATGAACATTCTAAACAAAAAATATTATAAATTGGGAATGCAAATGTAAGAGTAAACATGCACACTTGATTAAAACTGAATCAATGTGTTGTTTCCCTTAATTACCTAAATCTCAGGTGCAAATTTAATGTAATTCTTCCATTTACTTTTTACTTTTGATTTGCGACTGATCTTTCAGCTCTTTTTACTGAAAGAAGGAAGTGAAGTTTTTGTCTACTGCTCAATAAGACCAAAGTTGAAAATTGTATGAGTCAATTGAAATAGATGGAACAAAGAAAAGAACATCTCTATTCAGAAACACAAATCTATTTTACATGAAAATGCTAAAGCAACAGAAAGATGTAATCAGCCAGGTGAACGCCAAAATATAATGTTCTGAGCAAGAAAACCATCAAGATAGTAGGAGAAACGAAAAGCAGATAATATTTCAGAAAACTGCCACTCAAAAAATGTAAAGGTGCTTTTAAGGAGTTAGTACACAGTTTACAAAACATGTAGAGCTGCTACCACTAGACCGATCTCGTTTTAGATATTACATAACCCTTTGTTATAATCTGGTTAAGTTGTTAACACCCCTACCTACATTATTTGATCACTGCATTTGTTATTCTCACCAGTTTCACTGAAAGAGCCTCGCAGTTCACGGCACGTTGAGATATGTATTCAAATCAGAACCACACAAGAGATTTTAAACTCGCACATACTGTAGTGCTGATGGTGCATGATCAACTTCTAACCTACATTGCACCAACTCTTTTTGAAAAATGACCCAGATTGCATAATAACTAGCCAAGGGCCCAAGGCATGCAACATCTACGACGTGCATAGATAAAAATTGTCCTAGAAAAATTTTAGCTAAAGGATGAAGTTTGCACTGAAAAAATTGATTCTAAAATCCAGGAAGAGCAGGCTAATATGAATCATTTGTCAACCCGAAGGCACATCTTTGAGCTTGAACTGTTAAACAAATGCAATTTGAACTACCTCTTTGAAGTGCAAGATCTATTTTTGAAAATGATAAAGAGCATTGATGAAAAATGAATGCACCTCTTTTAACAAAGTTGAATCCGTCCAAGAGTTGAAATCCTCTTCAGATTCAATATGAATAGCTGGTTTTTTGGAGAGATTCAATTGTATGGTTTCTATAAGAAGTGTACTATCCAACATTAACGGCCCCACGTCTTGTCCACTGCAAACAATTGAATGCCAAGAAATTAGATTCCAGGGACAGAACTGAAGATATAATTGATACTAAGCAAGCTATACAACCAAATTCCAAATTAGCAATACAGCAGCTATCAGACAGGCAGTCACAAAGAAAGAAACTGCTACATTCTGCTAATAAATTAAATGTTGATTAATAAATTCTAAGACATTTCGGTCCATGACTAATGTACTTCAGAAGTAAGAAATAAAATTATTGTGATAAAAGATAAATTTGTTGTTATGAGAAGAATGAAAGAAATAATACTACAGCTAGATATTTTGAGAGAAGGCTAAAAGGATAATGCAGTCATGCATATGCATTTTCTCTTCAGAATTTTTATAAGCGCAAAAAATATTGATTAGCTAATTTTTTGTATTTTCTTGATTGATGGCCATTAGATGACTAAACAGTAAGATTTGTGCCAGTAGGCACCAGAAGCATAAAGATCTCATCAAGTAAACAGCATCAGCAGAACATTTTTTTTTTTGAGAATGACGTAGCATCAGCAGAACATGTCCGACAGTAATTCTTCAGAGAAAAAAAGAATGTTTTTTCCATCAAAGTTCCATATTATTTTATCTAGTTCTCCCCAGATGAGGGGGGCAGCATTTGTTATGAGGAAAACCCTTCTGCAATAGGCAGCAAAGGTCAAGTCCAGTCCAAATAAGTTTGCCTAGCAAAATAAACACTAGCTATACAAACCATGAGAATCTTTAAAACAAAAAAAAACATTGCACTAACCAGTAAGCCAGTATTTAAACTTCCTCCATTTCATTGTGCTTGTCATAATTTGACTTGGCACAAACTTTAATAAAACAAGAAAGGCTTTTGACACTTGAGTGGCTGTAAAACTTTTGGAACTTGTGGTATTAAACATGTCATAAAATCAGTATGGGTACAAAAGCTACTTCAATAAGGAAATATAGGAATGTTCCATTCTTTTTGGAATGGACTAATAAGAAAATAGTGCCAAGATAAGTGGATGGAGGGAGTATACCACTGAAATGTGTAGGGAGCCTCTGGAAGACGTCTTCCTTCCTTAATACAATTTTCAACCCACTTATGGTTGATTATTGACATTTTGAACTTTTTTGCGAGCTCATATTTCTTCCCTTCAAATCTCCAACACACCTAACCAATAGAAGCAGCACACACGTTAACACCACATGTATTCACCAAACAACTTGTCTAGCTTTTAGCATTATCCCAAGGACTGGCTCTGACGTTATGGTGGCAGAAGTTGAACTATGTTGCTCGGCGTTTTCAACAATGTCAACAGGTGTGTGTCAGATTCGCCAAAAGTAGTGTATATTTTTGGAAAATCCAACATGAGTGCGGCATCAAAAGTGAAGCTTGGCGCAACTAAGGCAGAAAATACAGAATTTATAGAAAATAAATTGAATGTTAAATACTCAAAGGACCCGATAATTGAAGGTGGGGCAGCAGAAACTTAGTGATATTTCTTATACTCCAATTGGCAGAACATTTGACCATATAGAAACTGTTCTCTGAATAATCTCGGTAGATGGCTTATTTAAAGGAATCTTGCAAGGTGAACAAACCACCAAAGATCTAGGTTTAGCACAAAAAATCAACTTAGGCAGATTATACTCATAACTGGATTTATTTTAAAGATGGTTGAGCTCACATATAGTGAAGGACCACATCAGGCAACAATAGTCACTGAGATTAGTTTAGTGACACCAAGGTTGTAATTGTGGCTTCTTTCCCATTACACCGTCCATTTCCCCCATTTTTCGGATTTCAGTGTCGCGATTTATTAATCCAAAATGCTATGTTGTGTCCTACTATTAATGATATATAACATGCTTTGTTCAATTCTTTGCAGAGTCTAATATAATTTCAAGTATTTTACGTAACAAAGAGAGTAACATTATGAAATTTCCAGGATTATAATTGAATTCGAATAGTGAAATCCTCACATACCAAATGAGTGATCGACTGGTTCATTGAACCGACATAACTTGCACCACTCTTATCGATCAACTTGATAAGATTAAATCTCTCGGTACCGTGGTATCCACTGACTGTAGCAATCACCGATTCCATGCCTCGGATAGGTAAAGGCCGGCGCTCTGAGTACCAAAAAAAATATGAAATTCAGAAATATTGTCTACCAGATAAAACGATGAAACGCCTAAAATTAAACCCTACATATCAGATAAATGTTGTTCCGCAAAGCACAGAAGGTGATTTTTACCTTTATTATGCCGTCGATTCGCCTCTTCCTCTTCCATGGAAGCTCTGCAAGTTGCCGGGAATGGAAAAATTTTTGAATTTGTCGATTTGTATGCCGCGGTTTTGAATAAAAGTACGAAAATGTTTTCGGGTCGGGTTTCTCGTGGTTTAGACCTTATAATTAGGGGCGAATTTATGAGTGGCATTCACTAGTCTCGAAAAAAGACTTTGTGTATATAATTGGCAAAGCAACCCATCCATGGTGAATAATCTAATTGGCAAAGCAACCCATTTGTTATTCAATCCTCGTTAATAACATTAATTTTTGGAAGCTTTCAGCTTTTTCCGTCTTGTTTCTCATTTTTATTCAACTTTTTCTTTCTTTCTTTTTTTTCTCTATCTTTATTTTGTCATTTCTTTTTTCCCTTGTTTCTCATTTTTATTCAACTTTTTCTTTCTCTCTTTATTTTGTCATTTTTATTAATGCGTGAAGGTTTTTTTTCGTTCCATTTATTCTTATTTATTTATTAATTTGAATTGACTTTTATTTACCATAATTGATTTTTAAGTTCCTTTACTTTCTCTTTCACGAATTATTAATCTTTTGATATGAGTGTTGCGTGTTTATTCTTTTATCAATTAATGAATACTGAATTATGAACGTGACATAAATATTATTTAGAATATATTTAAATAGTAGTTTTAAAAAAATAAAAGTTTTTTTTTAAAAATGGTGAATATTATTACTAGAGTTCTTTTTATTTGTAGGTTTTTTCGATCTTCACCAACGTTCTTGGTAAGTGGAATGACTAATTAAACTAATTTTTTTTTCTTTTTGCTATATTTTGCAACAACACATAAAGTTGATACATTAAGTTAAAGTATTAGATAGTTTATAAAAGCTCAAATTTTAGTATGAAAATTCTTTTCTTTCCTCAAAGTTTTAGCGAATAAAGCCACTAATTCCTAAAAAGAAATAAACATTGAATTGATTAATTAGTATTTAAAAGAAAATATTACTAACATGCATGTTTAATCGATTTGTTTATAAAAATCGAAAAAAAGATAAATAACTCAATTGTAATCTAAAATTAAAGCAACGGACTTGCTTTACTTAAACAATGTGGCACCCAGAAACTTCAAATTCTAGATCCGCCTCTGACTATAATAATGTGTTGGTCGTTATTTTATGCGAGTTTGAATCAAATTACACCAAAAAAATTAGCATCAATGATCAAACTGTACAGAACACAGTACAAGACAGCAGCTTCAAACCATTACAAAATCAATATCAAACTACTACTACATCAGACTACCAAAAATTTGCACCAATAAACATCACCAAGCTACCCCAAACTGCACAAAAACAACACCAAACTTGACAAGGTTTTCTTACAATAGCAGCGTCAATGAAGAAAAGAAGAGGGAAAAAGAAAATCAAGAGAGAGTAACTGAATTACGACATTTGTTAACGGTGTATATAAAAATTGGACAAGGACCCAGCTTTACGAGATTGTAGATAGTTAAAGGACTATTTCCGCTAAGTGTATCGTTTAGAAACTACTTTAAATCTACGATAATAGTTTAATGACCATTTATGTCATTTTCTCCATAATTTTTCCATGCTGTTGTTTTCTAATTAGAATTTACATGCAATGCGATATGAATGGTGACATCACATGTCATATATTCGAAATATTAGATTGTCTTCTTGCATATTTTTATGTTTGTTTTGCAATGCCCATACATCCGAAAGGTCACACTTCAAGGTGGAGGATTTAATCTTGTATGAAGAGACAAACACCCTCAGGTAGATGATTAAATTGGTGAGTATTTTTTTTTAGTCATTGTCGCTGCTCCAATGTGTTGCATGAATAAATTAACAATTTTCTGACTTAGGACAATATAAAAGACGAGAGAATCCTTTCTTTATTTTGACTACCCTAGGCTAGAGGACTTGACGGACCACATTAAATGCCTAAGAGAATGTACTAGGCAGATTAAAAGATGATTCAACAAGAGCATCGACTTTCGATGCAGACTTGAGGCTCACACCATAAGCTTCTATGAACTTTTTTCATCAAGTAAAATGACCTCAATTTAATTTGGTACTAGATAATATTTCCAAATGTGAGATATGAAATCTTAAGACTCCTAAAAGAAACGTCAAATATGGTTAACTTGAACCTAACAACGCAGCTCATCAAGATGCAAGATTTCCTTCGTTTACATGAACCAGCATCAAGTCACTTGATGCAGTGAATTTGATATTTAGGGACACTGCAAATAGTAAAATTGAAGTGAATGCTCGAGATGTATTCCTCAAGAAATAACACAAAACTGGAGCTGGAATCATCTACGTGCTGGATTTCCACCTTGTGCTGATGCATCATATCCAGGACCAATATGACCCGGTGAGGGAGCTGCCCCAGGAGGAGCATTTCCTATAGGTGCTACCTGTCCTTGAGTTGCAACACCGCCTTTGGAAGATGCGTCATAGTTAGAGGCCTTGCTAGGATCATAAACAGGGGCCCCATATGCATCATAGCCAGGTCCTCTGTAAGCTTCATAACCCGCTGCCCTCTGAGCATCATACCCAGGTCCCCTATCATACCCATGCCCCCTCTGAGCTTCATAAGCTGCTAAACCAGATCCTCTTTGCGCATCATAGCCAGGACCACTTGATCCCATTTGTGCTTCATAACCATGTCCAACAGGGCCTCTAATTCCCCTTTGTGCATCATAACCAGACATATTTGATGTATCATAAGGAGGCCTGTTTGACGGAGGCACAGACTGAGCTCCAACTTGTGGTGAGTCAACAGCAGGAACTCCTCCAGCATTAGTCCCTGTTGGTACGGAGCCTCTACCCTGCCATGTAAAATGTAGAGATAAGGTCAGTTTTGGCACTTGCCACAAATTATATCAAAGGAGAACATTCATCTTATCCAGAATTAGGACAGGAGACACAGTTTCTGTGAAACAAGACAGTTCAATCCCTCTTTTAATAGTTGAGTAGTTTTTGGGTATGAGCTTTTGCACATTGTACCTGTTAATGAATACATAATTTAAGAAATTACATAAATATTAGTACTAAATAATGTGGTTTTGAGTTATGCAAAAAAGTAAGTCCCTGAAAACTATAAATGTTTATTCCATTCAGCTAGTAGCTCAATACAAGAATAAATCCTGCTCCACATTAGTCCACAAATGGCTTATTGTGATTTCTGAGAGACTTCTACAGAATATCTTATGAAAGTTGTTATCTCTCAATTTGACACTGAGAACAAATGAGTAACACAAAAGATCTTCAAACATTTGTGCAATTACAAAAATTGAGAATTTGAAACTTTTGGTCTTTTACGGAATTGGGAATGAAAAGATTAAAACATATAGCTTATAGGGCAAAATTTAAAATTAAATAATATCGAGTTAATATTATAGAGACTCAACGATTATTAAAATATAGAGACCAGTCATTTGTTGTAATGAATCAAAAAGAAAGAAAATTAATTCAGACTACATTTTGTATCATTGTTGCTCCAAGTTTACATTTTTACAGTTTGATTCTTAATACCATGCATAAACTATTTCTGATTTCCTTCACCTTTATGGAGACAAATTTACGTCATTTAAGAGTTTCATCAACTTGAAAAATAAGTGTGAGTTTTTGGAGTTGGATGAACTTTATTCCAAGGAATATATTTTTAGGCCTTCTTCTGTGTACAACTCGCTTAGATGTGGATTTAATCCCTTTCAAGGTAACAATACTAATTTGCCATGATTGTTTAGTTAACAGTAAATGTAATTCAAATAATGAAATTTCAACTGATCTAGGCATCCTAAATATTAGGACTAAATGTGTAGTTCAAATAAGAAAAAGATCTAATAACGAAAATGTTAGTTGATTTCAAATTCCTAAACATTAGAAAATTATTAAATTACAGTTCTGTCTAACAGGAAATCCAGTTGTAAAGGGTGAACGACATTTTCTTAAGGTGTTCTGTGCTTGATGATAATATTATGGATAAAGCGACTTCAATTCCTCTTATGCACTTATTTTGTAGTTCATGCTATTGGACTACAAATAATTGAACCATACATTTCTGGTCAGCCAAATAAGTTGGGCAAAAGAATGAATACAATAGCAAGTTTCGAGTTACACTATTTGGTTAAGAGGTAGCTCTAGTATTCAAGATAACAATCAAATGAGTTATCGCAGAGGTCTGGATCATCTCTCTGAAGGCATAACGTGGTTTCAAGAAACGTCTGAGTGCATTTATTGGAAAACTTCAAATTTACATGGCTATTTGATTAGGAATAATAAATGTTCAAATGGAAAAGGAAATTCTAATCTAAAATATCCATGAGTGATGAATCCACAGCAATTATTAAGGCACTTAACAGAAGAGTTACTAATGTTAGAGGATAGGTTCATCCGAGAAATAAGAGTCAAAATTCATGTAGGTAAACTAAGTATTCAAATTTCACTTCACAATTATTCCCCTTCTATTACTTTGTTTTTTCCCCTGTTCTCCCATCCTTTTTATCTTCAAACTTGTAGTTTTTTCTCAAAAAGAGAACACAAAGACCACATCCATAGTACCAATATCTACCAGCTCAATTTTGACGAATATATTTAGAGAACTTGAAGCATAAAAAGGTAGCATTTAAAACCACAGAAAACTTTTCAACTTCCTCGATTCAGAGGGATGCATTGTAGAACTAACGAATACATGAAGAATAACAGATTAAACCTGATAAACTCCATAGCCGTCTGCATAGATGTTTTGCCCAGTAGCATAATTATTAGTGGCATCATTTTCATTGTATCCAGTTGAACCACCATAAGGTCCACCTACATATATATTACAACAAATGTAATACTAAAACTTTCAGCAACTGCTATGGCCATTACCAAAAAAAGAGAAGTGATTGAACCGATGTGCTACCTGTTTGTCTGTCAGAGTTAGAAGTGTTCGCTAACTCTGCCCTAAGCTTTTCCACCTCTCTGGACATAGTCATGTAGTTCTTCTCCATCACTTGAAGAGATTCAAGATGATCACTGTATAACTTCCTCTCGCACTCATAGGTAGTCCTGTCAACCGATTTACAGGAAACCAAAAATCGTTAACAAGAAGTTAGCACTCATTGAAAAGCCTTACCAAACATTACCTCCTCTCTCCTCTCCAACGCTTATAAGCTATGAGCCTGATATCCTTGAAGTGTTCCCTAAATGAGTTAACCTCAAATACATACTATAAATTCAAAATTAACTAGCCCACATACCGAGTAAAATCCTTTAAAATCAAATTTGTGTAGGACCACTACAGTGAGAGATCTGCACAGTTTCTCTATATATCCATTTGATTCTTCAGTCTACACATACTCGCCTCATCGTGATTTGTTTGTCAATTCTTTCAACTGGAACAATCTACTCCAATTTAGTGGAGGAAATCTTATCCATGATTATGATGTGGGCTTGGTAAGAGGAAAAACCTATGGGTAAATCAGAATCATGATCCTTTGAGGGAAACTAGTATTAGAACCAATTCGCAGCACAAGTTGATAAAATTGCTCATATTAGCTTTGGGGCTGAAAAAAGAAGGTGCAAATTTAGCAAGCCATATCACAACGGGCTGGATGGGAGGAGTGAAGCAGGTCATGGGAGAGAGCAATTATCCATTGTATATAATGTTTATGTACTCCTTCCTTTCCAATTTGTTTGTCTTAGTTACTATTTCTATTTGGACTATCAAAGAATTCTTTCTTTGACCACGTTCTTTTTCAAATATTTCAATTGTTAGCTATTTTTCGACCTATAGTTCATTTTATGTAGTTTCTAATATGTAAGTTAATTTCAAAAGAATTGAAAATTCTATGTACGAATTCACACCGAAAATTAGTTAGTTTGACCCTTGTACTCCGAATCAAGCCAAACAAATTGAATTGGGGGAGTAACTCAGAAGCACTGTCTAAGTGCCTGGCTGTTTTTATCTATAATATCACTACTTACCAGTTTCAAGAAAATATATACATGTTCACACCTGATAGACAGAAAATGGACAGCTTTAGATGTTTCTTTAAAAAAATGGAAGTCCCTAAACCAACCTTCATATTAACTGGAAGTTGCTAATCTTTAAAGATATTTAGACCCAGAAGAGAGTCATAGAGCATTACTTTTGAAAAAAGACACATACTAAACTATATACATTGTTAAATTTTCGAAGGAAGTAACCATTAGTGTACACTAAAAAGTTTCTAAAGGAGAGTGTACTATGAATGTATCTTAGCACAAAGGGTAACTTTTCCTTTCAGGTTCTGAGCATCCATTACTCTAATTACGTCAGAAGACCCTTTCTTGTTAAGTTGCATTTCATCCCAATAAAAAAGAGAGTTACCAGAGAATTACCGGCACTGCTGATACTCCTTTTTTAGGCTCTCCAACTCAGCCAGCAAACGAGGAATATGTAGCACATCAGCGTGAGCCCTTTGAAGATCCTGAGTCAGCATTTGTATTTTAGTAACAAGTTCTTGCCTTGCTGCAAACAAAGTGCGAGCTTCCCCTTGTGCTTGCGGCAATTCTTTTTTGATAGATTCAGCAGCTTGAAGTTCAGCCTCTATCCTAGAAATTTTATCACTGAGGCCTTTAGTCTCTTGTTCCCTGTTGGCCTTGACTGTTTCTATCTGAACATGCAACATTTGTAGCTCATGTTGTGCAGCAGCTAAATCTCGCCTCAAAGTTACATGGGTGGCAGCAAGCCTCTGATTTTCTGTAGTAAGTTTTTGCATCTCAAGATGTTGTGCACCAATCTTCTGTTCCAAAATCTCTGGAGGAGGTAGCCTGTCAAAAGGGGGGAAATCAACTGGTGGAGGGTTATGCGTAGGAGGACCAAAAGAATCAGGATACATCATGCCGGGTCCTGGAGGCGGACGCCTAATGTTGGGAGGTGGCCCTCGACCTTTGCTTCCCATTGAGAGATTGTGCCAGGAACCTGTAAACAAGAAGTACAATTACTTAACATATAGAAGGCATCCAAAGAGTACCTCAAATAAAATCAAGAAACATAAAATTTGTTTCACAGGATACGTTGGAGATCATAGAACGCAGCAAAAGAGGAGTAGCATTGCTACATGGTTTCAAAGAAAAAAAATAGAGCACTTGGAATCAAATGTTCCTCTAGGGATTGGCATTGCATTTGTTCTATGCCCCTCCATTTTCTGACCTATTAGCAGATCAAAAACTCGAAGGCCGAAATCCCAATAGTCAAAATGCTACATCCCCTTCACTTCAAAAGGCGAAGCAGACAATTATCCAAGAAAAATTATTACATTCCAATGACTTTAAGAAAATTATGCCACACAATAATATGCAATTTTGATTTCTCATAAACCTTTCCTATTTCCAGGAGAAAACCAGCTTTATACCTCCAAGTTTCATAGTATATAAGGCTAAGGCACTTAGTTCAATCAACCACCCAAAGATACTGCACTATTCAAAGACATTAAGGAACCTTGGATGTGAATAGCAAAACACAACATCCCAAGTTGTCAGATTGATAAAGCATTATTTTCATACAAGACAACTAACTCAACCACAGTCCTCACACTTCCCTTGATAATTTGTTCAAGAAATGACCAAAATAACCTTAACATACGGGGATACTTTATTTTGGTCCTTGATTTATCACTCTTACAGATATTCTCAATAACCTGTAAAGGCTATTCACAGTCAAAAACAATAGTTCTGTCAATAAACCTCATGCCCTAATTTTGTAGAGAACCTCTATCTTCATGTCTTTCCCTTGATTACCAAAAAAAGCAGACTTTGCAGTATCAATGAGTCCATCAGAATACACTCAAATGCACCAGATTTTTCACCCAAATTTGCACCAGATTCTTCTACTATAAAAACGGCAGCAATGAGTGCAGCATAATTCCCGATTCAAATGACACCAGACAGCTAATAATGGTAAATGATAACTACAACTAAACTTTTCAATAGCTAAACTAAACACGACTGGATAACCAAATTAACATAAAACACCAAAAAGTTGTACAATTACATAAAACCAAAGATTATCCAATAATAAGGATTGAGGATCAAAATTAGATTACCTTTGAACAAATTGAACTTGCTTCAATTAGGGATTCACCTTCCCTTTCGAATCGGAACAGTCTAACCAATTGGGGCTTTTTGGAGTTCTAAGAGAGAAGATATACAAATAGGTTCGACAGAAATCTCGCAGAAACGAAGAAGATAAAGCTACAGTCAGCTAAGCTCAGAGAAGAACTAGGGCTAACTGAGAATTTATTTTTATCGATTTGCTTCTGAAACGGCGAAACAGGGACTAAACTGGAATAACAACTTCAAATAATAAACACATTGTAACGCTGCTTATTTCAAATATATTAATTCACTAGTCGATCAATAGTTTTGGTATCGAATAAGCTAATAATTATAAATTAGACGCAAGAAAATCTAAATTTTGAGAGTATGTACGCATAAATATTTATTTAATAAAAAAATAAACATGATAATTCTTAACGAATTAATGGTTCATCTAATAAAAAATTGAGTAATTCATGTCTGCATCAAAATTAAAAAATAACTACAAAATTTTGATTTATTCACCAACGGTCAATTCGGTGATCCAACATCAAACAATCAATTAATCAATTTTGTGATTGACTTATCAGTTACGGTTCGATTTTGAACATTCCTACTGTTGAATTATTTAGTTCGACTAATTTAGATCGTCTCAAGTGGGGTTCATTTAGGAGTAGTCTTTTTTGTAAAATATTTATTCATACTCAATACTCGAAATGAAATTAAAAAATGAGCAGTCTATCGTACTAGATGTAAGTATTTCAAAAATTTAGAATTTATAAAATCAATTGATTTTATCTTTTTCTTTCGTGCCTAAATATCTAATGAATTTCATAATTGAGTAATCCGGATAACCAAGGGAAAATGTTCTTTAGTGGAGCTTCGGGCTCTTCAATTAATCGAGAGTTTCTTGAGTTGTATGATGACGTTGTTGGATTATTGTATCCTAGAGAGGACAAGTTCAGAGTGATACTTCTCAATCCGTGTAGATTATGTTTCATTGGCTTGAATCTCTAAAAAAATAGCGAGTTATTCGTGCCTCATTCTAAAAATTTTAATTTATTCCTATTTGTTCATTTTATTTCAGTTGTAATTCGTTGCGTCTGTGGTATATTACACCGACACACATTATTTTAAAATTTCAAATAATAGAATTTAAATCGCCAAGTTTGAGATTGATGCATTTTCTCTTCATTCACTCTATTTTTTGTACGCACATGAAGAGAAAAAATGAATTTATTGAATTAATTTATTTTAAGTGTTTTAAAGTCAAAGTAGTATTTAAGCACATTAAAAGCTAAATGAAAATAAGAAGAGGAGAAGCGACAATGTCATTATACTTTCTAAACGGTTTTTTTTTAATAATAGCTTAATTGATCAATTTCTAAAATTTGCTTACTTCAAAAAAATATGTTTCTTTAGAGAATTTTTTGGGAAAAGTATTAATCTTTTTTCTGTAAATAGTCGTTTGTATTTGATTAATCAATTTTTTATAAAAATTTAAAATATTAGAATAATAATTTATGTGTGTAATGACTCGATTGACCGTTTTGAGTACTAAAGTTCTTATTGCATAAATGACTCTTTAGATAGAATTTAAATGAGTATTTTGGACTATTGGTAACTATAATTATAGAATTAATGTAGTAATTTTAATAAATTATTTAATTGGTAGTTTAAAGAAGATAATATTAAAATTAATAGTGGATCATTTTTACCACTTCTTATAATTGGTTACTTATAATAATTAGGGTAAAGAAATAATTTGTTAGACAAAGAAAAAAAAATGAAAGAGGAGAACAACGAAAAGTCGGCACAATCTAAAGCACGATATAATTGTCGAGGTAAAAGAAGTATATGTATATGTAAATTTGATGAATAATGTAGATATAGAATTTATTATTATTTTTATATTTTATATGGGTAGATTGGGTTGCATATAGTTGCAGTGCATATAAGATTGTAGAAAATGTTCAACTGCCCCTCAATCTATATCCGAAATTTCAGAGACACACTTATACTATACTAAGGTCCTATTACCTCCTGAACTTATTTTATAAATAATTCTTTACCTCTTTTCAGTCTACGTGGCACTAACTTGACATGTTCCCTCCATAATACAACAATCCAAAAATATCGTCAATTCAAAAACTTTGAATTAATTAGTTAAAAAGTTTAAAATTTCACAAAGAAAAACATATTCCGTCAATATAAAATTATTCTCTTTGAAAACCTAAAATATATATTTTTGTGTCAACTCTCTCTTTCGTGACCCTAATCTCAAAATATAAACATGATACAAAACATCCACTTTTTCTTTCTATCCAACACAAGGAAGAAACACTTCTTTATAGGTGTAGAATTTCCATCAGAAATAAATGTCAAGAATGAAGCTAGTCATTTAAGCATTAGTGGGACATCAATAGGAAATAATGAGAACAATTGACCATTTTTTTTTTCAATTTAATATATACATTAAAATAATATAGTTTGAAATTATAACTTAATATTTTTTTCTTGTCAGTTAATATACATTAAAAAAAGTTTTAGTGCACATACATTCAACTATAGGGATGCTTACCTCTGATTCAAAAAAAAAAACACAAGTACAAGTCGAAATATTATAATAAATGATAAAATAATATAAGTTTGAAGCCCAAACAACATAATTCTTTTGAAACAAACTAAACCAAACTATTTTCAAACAATTATCAATTTATATCAATCTTTTATTTGAATTGATATATTTTTTTTACCAAATTATGCATACCCTTAACGGAAAGAATAAGAAGCCAAATAAAATAATATTGTGAGGTAAAACATTTTTCTTATAAGTCACGTATTGAAAATTATCACACGACAATAATTAGCCACACAACAAATTATTAGCAAGATGCAACTTCCTCCTAGTCTCAAGGGCCGGTGGATCATACTTTAACGTGACACATACATTTTCGATCTATAACTTTACATGTGTCAAGCGCTAAATAAATTTCGTCTACTATATATTATTACACAAGACGTATCAAATCAAACCAAATACTATCATTTTCAAAAGCAAATTAAACTAAATATGAATAATTCTCAGAACATTAGTTACCAAGCTGGCCAGGCCAAGGGCCAAGCTCAGGTTAAGATTATTGCTCTCGTCATTTATTTTAGAATAAAAAAACCACTTAGAGTGTGTTTGGTATGAAGGAAAACATTTTCCAGAAAATGTTTTCCAATTTTCTCATGTTTGGTTGGGGCAAAAGTTTTGGAAAATGTTTTTCAAATCAACTCATTTTCCTCAAAATTAAGGAAAATGACTTCCCTTCAAAAATTAAGCAAAACATTTTCCAAAACTCTCCTCCAATTTCAAATTACATTTTTTGGGGGGAAAACATCAATTTAAAAAAAATATTTTCAATTTAAAAATTTTATTTTTTCACCCGATCTCTGACCACCCTCCCCCCTCCCCCCAACACCACCCCCTCCCCAAAAAATTAATGTTGCTTTTTAAAAATATTTTCAACTCCAAAATTTTATTTTTAAACTCCTACCTCCCCCTCCCGGCCAGCCCCCTACCCACCCCTACCAGCCCCCTCACCCTCACCCCAACCCTTCAAAAAATTAATTTTGTTTTTTAAAAATACTATCAACTTCAAAATTTTTGTTTTTTCACTCCTACCCCCTCCCTCTACCCCCCCAACTACCCCCACCCTCTATCACCACCACCCAAAAAAAAAAGTTTCTAAAAAATATTTTCAATTTCATAAATTATTTTGTATTCTAGTAAAAATAAAAGATGTTCCTCAAAAATATTTTTCATTCATAAATCAAAACACTAAAAATCATTTTCAAAAAATATTTTCTACTCACCAACCAAACACGAGAAAATAAGTCCAAAATCTACTTGTTTTCCAGGAAAACATTTTCTAGGAAAACATTTTCCTTCATACCAAACACACCCTTAGTGTTAATTAGTTATTAAATTGAATTATCATTTGATTGATCTATTTGTGCAGTTACAAATAAATACATAAAATTAAATTCATGTCATATATACATCTATCAGGAAAAGGGCAATCAAATGATGGAACAGGCTAACAATGCTGCACAATCTGCTAAGGAAACAATGCAGGAGGTTTTTGTCATTTTTCATTAATATCTATCTATCTATATATATTTTTTTTACCTTACATGTCAATCAAATAAAATTAAACTCTTGTGTCTCTTTTATTTATTAATTAACTCATTTAAATCGAATATAACTTATATACATCAATATCGAATAAATTAATATGTTAATTTTTATAGGCGGGGCAACAAATGAAGGCTACGGCACAAGGAGCAGCAGATGCAGTTAAAAATGCTACTGGAATGAACAAATGAAAAATATTCATCTGATCTCACATCATGAACTTTGTTCAACATTTAGGCTATGAGTTCAACCTTCTTTTTTTTGAACTCTTTTAATTGGAATTAGGGGATAAATCAATTATAATAATTAAATTTGAGTATTATTAAGAAGCTTTACTAATTTTTCTTAATTCCTTTTTGGTTTTCTAATAATAATGCTTAATTTTCTTTAATCTTCCAGCTTATAAATTTATCGTAGTTGCATTATAATTTGTGTCCAATTGTTCATGAACCTAACTCTCGGATAATGTTATAGCCTCTATTTAGATTTTGTTTTTGTTTTATTAAAATTGGGTAAATATAGCTCTTGAAAATAATATAAGATTCGGATTTATTATTTGTTCATAAATTACTTGATTTTAAATACAAAATATTAGATTGTCATCTGAATATTTTAAAAAACTTATAAAATTTTAGACAATAATGATTCATTTTCAATTCTTAAAATTATATATAATGCATATATAATTTTTAAAGCTATAATAACTAAAAGAAATTAAAGAATGACACAAGGATAATGATAATGAATAATATGAAAACGACTTAAATTTAATCTAAAACTTTCTTGATGTGTGAAGCTTAAAATGGTATGAGTATGATTCTTTGTTGCGGTTAACTAACTATAGTTGAAGTAAATACAAATATTGTTATCTAATTTGTACAAACAAATACTAATGACAGTAATAACTTTGCAGAAACAAAAACAATAAAGTTTGAAACATGTACTTAATAACAGGAATTAATAACATAAGTCGAAATTAATGACGGTAAATATATACAAGAATCTGTAACAATAGTATGAAATGTGAAGGAAAGAAAATCTAGTTCACTTAACTCACAATGTCTCCTTAAGGATGTTATTCCATCTAGTATTCGAGGTTTAAATGGGATAGATTCTTCCAAGATAGAACAATTCTATTCACACAAGTGTATTGATACAAAAATAATGGTGTCATTGAGTCACTCAATGACAACAAAGTACACAAATATTTAATTGCGAAGAAGATCATAATTTTTGTTTAAAAAAATATAAGGAATCACATGTATTTATGACCGAGAAGCATTGTTTCTGAAAGTTAGCAACCTTATAGAACAATCATGGTTGTTTTTGAAAGGTTATAACCTTTTAAAATAGTCATCTAAAAATGATGGAAAATTTAAATAAAACGGAAAAAACGTTTTAACCAAAGGTCACGAGGATCTTATTTGGTTGGGTCATTTATGATTGACCATTAATTGATTAATAATTAACTAGATAATTAAAGAAAATTTTATCCAAAAAAGGATCTCTCGATCATTTTTCAAAGCCGAAGCAGAGCTGAACTAGCAAAAACGACAGCGTGAGGGTCCCTCTTTCCAACATTTTCTACAACTACTAAACGTGTATGTTTCCTTATTTTAACACTTGAACTTTTTTCTATCTACCACCAATGAGGGAAAACTGTTTTCTACTAAAGCATAAAAGAACACTAGAAACACATACCTGTATGTATCATGTGTGATTCGCATATATCAGTGATACTAGATACATGAGAGAGGGGAGAGTGAGATTTATCTATCTATCCCAGATATATGTGAATCCACTGAGACATAATGTATCTAGAGAAAATTTTTATCTAATTTTAATCTCATGTATCACAAGATGCATATATATGGCCATATCCGAAGGTATCAAATTTTGATAAAATAAGCAGAATTACAAATTACAATGTATCTAAATAATTAGCTCTTAAATCAATAAGATATAGGTAAATTTCTCAAATAAAATACAGGATGAATGAAGTACACACCAGCACGAACCCAACATTATTTTTTGTTTAAAGTAAAGTTGATAGTAATTTATTTATGTTACTTTTTCGTAATCTTAGATGTTTTCTAATTTAATAAATATATGACCTTAAGTCCAGATTCTAGAAAATGAAAGCAACTAAGATAAAAGGTTAGCCCAACCCGACAAATCCTCAATTCTTTCTCTATGAACACGTTCCCATTAGATTTTTACTTGAACTTTTCTATTCCTGATATGTTCAGCCTTGGACGAAGCTTTAGATTCGTCGATACTAATAATTTGGAGCTTATTCTTTACATGTCAAGACTCTATCAAAAATCGTCTCGAACACTAGATTAATGTTTAACCTGTTATTTAATTGTAATAGGATGACGACATTTCTTTAAACTCCTGCTCCATCAACAAATTCCCCAAATAACAATAAATTAGCAAAATGATATACTCTAATTTCATTTTTCATGGTAAAAAAACTTTCATCTCCACACATGTAAAGGATGTACTCTAATTTCAATTTTTCATAAACAATAAGTAAACTTTATTTCCATTTTAGGTTTTCACATTTCTAAATCTCAAATCTAAGAAACTACGATATTTAACACAGAAACCAGAAAAGTGGCTATATATGAATATTTCTATATTTATCATTTTACTACTAAGTAATAAATTGGACAAACTTGAATTTTGAATGAAGAATAAAATTCTTCGACAAAAATAAAGTGTAATTCGCTAAAAAGAGTAATTCGCTAGGAAGAGTAATAGAAAAGAAGCAATTTATTCCATATCATGCGAAATTACTACTTTGCCTTTAGTTGTTCCATCTTCACATTTCTATGTAATAGAATTTTATTTATTTATTGCTATTCTCTCTTTTTGAATATACGTATTTTTTTTTTCTGTTTTCCTATAAAAAGAGACGCATAACAATTCATATTGAATTTAAAATAACATTCCGTCTTTCGAATCAAAATATACTTTAACTTAAAAATTTTGATTATAATTTAATAATGATTTTTTCTTAATATTTTGTAAGAAGAGAATAAACATATATAAATTATTGTACGTTACATAACAACACACATTTTAAATCTCTTTTACTGATTATAGTTTTGAAAGCTTTTCAATAAAATCAATTATTACATAAATCATCAAAACTATTCTAAAAGAGTTTAAATATAAAATTAAGATTTTCCTTCATTGAATATGTCAATTAGAATATCATTTTTTTATTTATTTGATATTTTGTAATAATTTTAATTTCAAAAATTAAAGTTATAGTGATTAATATCCTTAGAAGACCTTCAAAGTTAAAGACAATAATTTTTAAGATTTAATTATTTTGTTAATCTAATTAGGTTGAATTTGAAATGTTTATTTGAACATCTCAAAGAACTAAAAACAATCTTACAAAATCAATATTAAAACTTGATTGATTCAAATTAAAGTGAATTAGATCAATTAAGAAATAAAAGGTATCTGCAAATTTATGTTTGTAATTTTTAATTATAATTACATAAATAATAAAATTTCAAAAATATGTGCGTAATAATTAATATTACCAACAAACTATTTTTTTTTAATTATTTGTAACAAAAAATACATACTTTTTTTTTACGGTATTTTGTTTTTTCCTAGTGTTATACACAGTGCTTCTTACAAATTACAATGGCTTTCATCAGAATTCAAATGTAGCGTATCCTTCGGAGTGGCCCAGCGACCTGGGCTTGAGAATTTCATGTTAGAGGTTTCAAGTTCTACATCCTTTGTCAATGAAAGCAAGGGACTTATCTTCTGATCGAGTCGTCGAATCGAACTTGCCTAGTGAGGGTTACTCTCATGTATTGTTTGTGAGTTATTTGCATGAAAATGGAAATATTATCATGTTGTTATTAGGTTGTGGAGTCTGATTAATATTTGATGTACTGTCATATATTAATGTTATCGCGGTTCACCCATTTATTCTATGTAACAAAAAATACTCTGAATAATTAATATATATACCCCACCGCCGTGGAAATTTACTCACGCGGTGTTACCACAAAATATTGATTTCTCTCTTTCTCTCTAGATCTCTCTATCTCTTTCTCTTGAAAGTTCCTGTGTTCTTCATTCATCAAGTGTGTGTGGATTCGATCCTAACAATCATTTGTGAGCTATATTGAATAGGAATGGAAGTTTTACCACGTGATTTCCCTTTGTCATAAAAAAAATTCAGATGTGCTGTTCTCTTTTATGTATGTATGTCCTATCTTTTGTCTGCTCAGTGCTTATGATTCTTCTTTTAATCGTTGCCTCTTGGGTAGAATTTGTTTTTTTTTTTTGTGCGTATTTTTTCGTAACTGAACCATTTTCTAACCTAACATAAGACTATCAATAGAAACCAACAGATGTTATGTGTCTTGAATCTAACAGAACCATTTTTTCAAGGATGAGTACGATGAACCCCTAAAGCTGATATCAACTTTTACTTCGATAGTTTAACTAAACTTTATTTATTTTAGACACTATGATAAATCCCATCGTGTCATTTTGACACTTTTTTAACAATCAGCATAAATTAAAAAAATATGTGTAATTCACTCGCAGATGACATGACATAACGGCGAATTATGAGAAGACATGTGTCAATTTGATTAAAAAAATAAAAATAATTATAAGAAAAATGAAAGAAAAACCATTTAAACTTATATTTTAAGAACATTTCGATAAGAAAAGACCTCATTTCTAGGAGTCATTTCAAAGAATCATATCTAAAATTTTTCACTCGAAATTAGAGTTCCGCCGGAAAAATTGAGGAGATTTAGATTTAATCTTTTTTCCAAACACGTCTCATATTTACTTTTATAACTTGTAATTCTAATTCTAAATAAAATATGTTTTGGTGAAAAAGAGGGAGAGAGATAACAAAAATGGTGGATCTCCATTTTTCCGCTGTGGTAGTGATGTTATTTTTAGATTTGATTTTTTTTTTTAGAAAAGTAGCTTTTGTAAGTTATTTCAATCAATTTATGGTTCTTTTTTAATCCTTTTCAATAAGTATATGATTCTTTTTGTTTACTCAAAATCAATATATAATGGTGGTGAAAGTTGAAAGAGAGGAGAAGATGAAGTGAAAAAAAAATATTTTTTTTCACAAAAAAAGGCCTTTCACGCGCTTAAAATCAGTGCAATACATGCACTTTGTGAATTCAGTAAAAAGTGTCAATATGACACAACGGGACATGACATGAAGTGTCTACAATGAACAAAGCTTAGTTAATGTGTCCAAGTGAAAGTTTGTGCCAACTTTAAGAAGCCACCAATGGTTCTGCCTTTTTTTAACTGC